TTGTTCGAGTAAAAAGAATTTTATACCTTGTTCACGTCGATGAAATTCTTCAGGTGTTAATGTTACATCTTGATTCTTAATATTTAAACATTTTGGATGAAGTATTGGTGGATTTTTTGAAGTTTTTTTATGTGGTATTGGTATTGTGGAATAATTTTTATTTGCATCAACATTTTGATTATCCTCATTGAATTCTTCTTTTTGTTTGTTTAATTCTTTCTATAAAAGATTTGTTTTTTTTTGTTTTTTGTTTTAGATTAACCAGAAACAATTAACTTACTAATTTTTGACGAAGATTTGTACTCATTGTATTCATCTAGCAGAAAACGATAAAAAAGATTTGAATTCTATCAACAGAGATCGAAAGACAAAGACCCGCTAAACAATGTGAGAAATTTTATTAACCAATCAATAGTTCACTTTCGGATGTGGAATGTAGCGACATCGTTAATTGTCTGATTTTATATATAAATATCGTTTACAATTTAACGAACAATTTTGTTATGGCTCAGTCAAGTGAAGAATCATATTTGGATAAATTGCTTAAAACTCGTTATCCACTTACGTATTATCTTAGTCGACAACAACAGTTTGTCAAAGCTTATTCAACAACACAAACCGTTGCAGCATCAGTTGCTCCTTTAGGTTTTATTTTTATTGTATAAAAAAAGAAAAAGTTTTAATAAATCTATTGATTTTTAGAATCCACAATAATCATAGCACATAAACGAAATGCACCATTACCACCACCGCCATGTTTCAATGTACCTGATACACTCGATTTTAATGCATCAGAATGTATAGTATAAAACTGAATTCTTTTTTTAAATTATATTAATAATGATTATGATAAATACTGTAGCACTAGATTTGTTAATAGGCGCTGAGAAACAGTGCTCTTCTGTAATGAAGCTGTTTGCTGCTAAATTTCAGTGATAAAAGTGTAGATTATCATTGCTTAGACCAGAAAAACTGTTTATCCAGTGTTACGATCGTTCGAAAAATGGATCATATAGACTTAATTTCGATTTCTTTCTGTAATGGCGGTAGGCAAAAAGAATCCAAATAGTGGTTTGAATGAAAAAAATTCTCTAGAAAAATGAGATGTTTCCGAAATCTTTAGAACATTTTATTGACTGAATTATATCAATTTTAACAAAAGCTCAGAAGTTCTTTTGGTTCGGTTTTTCCATAGGAAACTGCGAAAAAATCACTTACATTTTTCTCAAAGTCGATGTGTAGGTTAGTCAAAAATGCTGTGGAAAGCTCGGAAATCTCTTATTTTGTAGAGAATTGCTTTATCAGCCTATGTAATCAAAAGGAACTTTTATTTTGGAAATTCTCTCAGCATTTCATTTTTCTCAAATCTCTCGATTCGAATTGCTATTTGGATTCTTTATGCCAGTTATTATTACGGAAAAAAAATCGAAATTAAATGTGTATGATCAATTTTTGGAGCCACTCTGTATGACATTTAGAGACATCTGAAAAGTTAAAGATTTATTAAAAGAGTGTTTTTTGAATATATTACATAATTTCGTAATATCTCTAATTAAATTTTATTGATAATGTATTCAAGCATTCTAGATTATAAGAAATTGTTTTTGATATCGCTTGTTTTTTGAAGATTTAAGAATAAGAATTATCTTTTGTTTAGATGAACAAAATAAAGAAATGGATCAAAGTTTAGAAATGGAAGAAGTTACTACACAAGAATATGATGAAACAATCTTGTTAAAAAGTATATTTAATATAAAATCTTGTCTTGTTTTTCTTCATTCTTATATTTTCTATTAGGTAACAATAATCGAATCAATGATACTAATAGTGTAAGACAACACTAATATCATTTATTAATTTTTTTTGTTAAATAAAAAACCAATCTAGGATATTACAAATAAAATTAATTTATCAATTATCCAACGTACATCTGCAATTCAATTAGAATTTTCACCATATGAAAATAATTCTCCATTACAACAAGCGATACAAAATGGTTTAAATATTATCAATAAATAAATCTGATGTTGTTCTCTATATCTTGTTATTTTTGTTGTTTTCATAATGAAAAAGACGAAAAACACAGCTTGTTTATATCTTTTAATATACAGCGTAGCTGATAAATTTGAGTTCGTTGAATAATATGTTGCTGTCTATTTAGAAGGGCATGGAGTTTCATATCTCGAACAAGGAATACCATAGATTTGTTTTTTGGATACTCATGAATTTGTTAAATTTTATAGTTAAATGAATTTTTAATTTAACTAGTACTGCCACCCATTGACTATCATTTGAACATACTATAGCTTGACAACGAACCCATGAAAATATAGACATATAATCAAATATGACATAATTCCATATAAAATCTAGTAGTACTACTACTTGAAATTAATAGTCAGCATCTTATTTTGTACATAGATAAATACTAAAGTTAAGAATAAATATTTTCTTTATTCTATGTTATCATATTCGAACTTCGTTACTGTTGTCATAATTATCTTTGAAGCAACATTAATTAAGTACATAAACAATACCAAAAGTTCAATATCATCGAATACATGGAAAACCATCGACGTTATTGCTTATACTTTCATTGATTGATAATTATAGATTATTAAAAAGAAAATTTTATAAAGTCTTATCAATAACTATATTTGAACAAATCTATATGAAAAATTTGAATCAGTACTAGCTCGTATATGCATAAATCATTACATTATATAATTCTGAATTTTTTTTTCTGTTATTGCTTGAAAACTTAGCTGTGTTCATAAGACTTATTAAACATTTTTTCATGTCTATCAAATTAAAAAATTTTTAAATCAATTAAAATATTACTCCTAAACATTCACATTGTTAAACTACAATCATTTAAAACTAGCGATGGCATTCATAATTCAATGAATGTTTCATTCGATGATGTACATATAAATCCAATCAATCTACCAATTAAAGCAACATAGAGTCAACAAACTGCTGATATATATTGATATGATGAATCGATAACATTACTTAATGGTGCTACTGATCATTTCAGTGTTATGCCAACACGTTCTTGAACTAGTAAAGCTCATTCTTTTAGGTTAGCTGTAAATAATCTTATTTTAAGATAATTTCCCATATTAGCAAATTCCGGTGAAACATTAAATATATTAATAACAATCATGCGGATATTCAATTGATCTGAGTATACTCAAATATCACCATAGAAAACATTTTTTTAGGAAATAGATACAAATGAACTATTAGCAACAGGTTGAGTAATAATACTCTATCTTCTTGAAATAAATTGACAAAAATGAAGTGCTTTATGTCCTTGTATAATCAAGGTTTTCTATTTGTTTTTATACAGAAAAAATGATTCATATGTAATTATGCATAAACTTAAGAGTATAAACACTTCTCGATGTATCATGAATCGAAATTGTTTGTTTTTTAACGATTGTCTCATTGCGTAAGCAGAATTATAAAAACAAACTACCGGAAAAAAAGACAAATATAAGTTCAGCACAATCTATTTGTAGACCTCTAACGTTATTATATAACGTATATTTATTATTATTATTATTATTATTATTCGAGTATGAAAATAAACTTTGAATATTTATTGTATTTCAAAGAATCCAGTAAACACATACATGAGGTAAAATATTCATTATTATTACGTTTTATTTATTTTACACTGAAGTTATTTTTGTTTCATTTTTGAAAGTAACCATGAGTAAATGATTGTGACTCAAGGATCAAAAAAAAAGATAGATATAAGAATATTATTGACAAGCAATAAAATTCTACTGTCATTTGAATTTATTGAATATTTTTTTTATTAATGAGTTTCTCTTGCTATATAAATCGATAAATTATATATTAAGATTTTCTATTTTAAGTATCTACTCTATCGATTATATATATTTTTTTTTGAAGTTGATATTTTAGTTGAATGTTAAATTTAAAAGTTCATATAAATTATTTAACAAAAAAAGAAAGATTAAATAGAATACAAACGTAAATTTTATGAAATACTGATGTGTCTACTAAAGTTCATTTCTACAGAATCGAACAAAATCTCATTCTATAGAGAAAATCTTCAATGATACTATAAAATCTAATATTGATGTGAAGAGAACAATAAGTTTTTGAATTATTTAGTTTAATATGACTATTAAAATAAAACCTTTATCAATCAATCAATAGATAAAGAACATAAAGTACATTTACATAAAATTAATGTATCAATAAAAAGATCCATATTGATTTCATATCTATGGAATTCATGTAACTGTATAATCAATAATTACGAACGTTGACCTTGTCGTCATACATAATATAAATAAAATCTCGCAAATACGAACTTTTCAATTAAATATTTTTCGTCATTTTGATAGATACGTATACTTCTCTAGAAGAATTATTTCTTTTTTTTTTTTTACATAACATCCGTCTTAAATTAGCTTTGTCTTTCATTCAGTCACATATTAGTTTTAAACTTAATATGTTACCAAAAATAGAAACAGTCAAAAGCATATACATGTTGGTATTTAATATACACTCAAGTATTTCATCTATGTTGACTTCATACATAATGATAAGGATTTATGATGTCCAGAATCAATTCTTTTTCTTTTCTACATCTATTTTATAGCTATCAAAAACATGCGACTGATTCATATAATCTTTTTTTTCCGTCAAGACCAACCATTCTCAATTGTATCATTTTGAAGGGCATAAAAGGACTTACGTGCTCTTTCAATATGCATCTTAAGCAAATAAAAAAAAACCAGAAGAAAACGATAAAACCACATGTCAACATGAACAGATGATAGCCTCTTACATAATCTCAATATGTTTCTTTTCTTATAGAACAGAAAAGTACAAAAAAAAAAACTGACAAAATGATAGCAATCTTGTTGTCGCTATAACTGGCAGACGTTTCCTAAATAGATGCAATTTGGTCATGCGTGCTATCTTTACATTAATAGATAGACAAAGAATTCGTCATGGTATGAAAAAATGTTTTTGTTTTTCTTCTAATCTATTCCATCAAAATTATTATCATTCTTTTTTTTTTGTAGTTTAATATACAATATAGTCTTTTAATAATATTACTATATACATTAACTAATAATTATGCATATTATTTTCATTATTATAATTATACACAAATGACTAATTTTCTTCATGATACAGTTATTCGTTATCCATCAAAAGCAGCATTATATGAAATAGGAAAAACTCATGGAGGTATTATAAAATTTAATAAAAAAAAATTTTAATTCTTTAATTATTTTATTCTTAAGGACGATCATTATGGGCTATAGCATTAAGTTCATATGCTCCAAATGAACATATATTATTACGTCCAGAAGTAAAATATATTGGAAATATGCATGGAAATGAAGTTGTTGGTCTTCAATTATTATTATATTTAATTGAATATCTTCTAACATCAAATGATAATCAAGTTATAGAATTAATGAATGGTTCTCGAATATGGATTATGCCATCAATGAATCCTGATGGTTTAGCATTATCACAATATGGTGATTGTTCAACAATAAACGGAAGGTAAAAATAAATACAAGAAAAAAAAACAAAGTTTGTCATTAAATTTTATAATGTAAATTTTTATTTTAGATTTACATTAAATAATATTGATTTAAATCGAGATTTTCCGGATTATCTTGGTATTCAACTTTCATTATCGAATCGTGCTTTAGAAACACGTGCAATTATGTCTTGGCTTCATGATATACCATTTGTTCTTTCAGCAAATTTTCATGGTGGTGCATTTATTATTAATATTCCTTATGATCGTTATTGTAAAAATTTTATTTTATTTATTCAAATATCAAAAATCAAATTTATTTGTTTCTTTTTTTGTCTTTTCAGATGTTGGAAAAATATCAATTAGTTCTGATGATGATATATATCAAATGATTGGTAGATCATATGTTAATCGAATATTAGACACAGAAAGATATTGTAATTTAAATAAAGATGATGTTGGAACAGTTATACGTGGTGCTGATTGGTATGAAATTATTGGTAGTATGCAAGATTATGGTTATTTAAATTATGGTACTATTGAAATGACAATGGAAATATCATGTTGTAAATATCCAAATGAAAATGTATTATTTTCATATTGGAATTATAATCGTGACGCTATGGTGGAACTTTTATTTCAAGCACAACGAGGTTTAATTATTAAATTGATAGAATTTTTTTTTTTCTTTTTTAAATAAATTATTATTATTTAGGAGTCAAAGGTTTAATACTCGATGAATATTATCAACCTATTCAATTTACACAGATTATGATTGATAATAGACGACCTGTAGTTAAGGTAACATCATTAGGAGAATTTTGGAGAATATTATTACCAGGAGTTTATACTCTAAAGGTAGAAATTATTAAAGAAGAATATTTAAAAAAAAAAGAATAAGATTGTATTTTTAGGTATTCTATCGTGGTTATGAAATTTATCGTCAACAAATAATAATTAATAATAGTTATATACCATTAAATATAAATATTATTATTCCACGATTAACATATCTTCATTATACAAATAGACCAATTCAATTATTATCTCCTTTTATGACTAATTCAACTTATTCAATATCAATTTCATATGTGTTATTTTTTCTTTGTCTTATTTTTCTAGAGAATTAAATAAAAAGAGAATAATCTTTCTTTTTGTTTTTTTTTATTTTTATTTTTTTTTTCTTAACCAACAGAAGGACCTGGAATGACAATTCCTAAATCATTTAATTCTGCAAATAATTGTTGATTATTATAAATTTCTTTATATGAAAAACAATGACCGAGAACATAAATATGTTGTGCACAACATATTACTTGATCATTAGGACAAATTCTTTGTGTATAAACTATATATGTTTCAACACCATGGTGTTCTTCTATCCAATATTCATCACACCAACGTGTACAACTAGCCAATCCAAGAAAGCCACATGCATCAAAGCCACATCTATGACGACCATGTCTAGTTACCTAAATTGAGAAAATAAGTTGAATTCGTTAGTAATATGTTTTCTTTTTTATATACATGATATGTTGTTTGTCGTGTTTGTGATGCGGCTTCAACGCCAGGATCAATTTTACAACACCAATTTTCACCTTTATGTTTTAGATCATTTCTTAATGCTGGTGTTGATTGAAGAATATTTAGGATATTTTCTTGAGTACTTTTTGGTAATTGATCGATTCGATTTTGAATTTCAGTTGTTGTTGCTATTGAAAAAAGAATAGTATTGAAAAATACAAAAAATTGAATGAGAATCATTTGTGATCAAATCCAATGAAAATAATTTTTTTGTCTTAAAATATTGTAATAGTATGTTTTGTTTTAAGAGGTATTAACATATGTCTTTTTTTCTCATTGCATCGAACGATATTTATTGATTACTCAATAAACTAAAAAGAAAATCATCCGATAATTTTCTTTATCGGATGACATTTTAAAAGTCAACTAATTCATTCAAATTTTATGTTTAGCCTTGAACTATTCTCAATGAAATCTGAAATGTCTAGCATACTTTAATTTTAATAAAAGACACCAGAAAATCGTTTCCATATATTTCTTTTAGTAACAGGAACATAAATATAGAGGAAGCAAAAAAAATGGCTATGTAGTGTGTTTCCTTATATAAACAATCATTTTCAATCTCTATTCTTTCTAATTGAAAGAATATTTCTTTCAATTTTTCTTCCGATTATTTTCTCTTAATGCAACACCTTTTTTGCTTGATTTTACTATTTCTCTCTCTCACGCTCTCTCTCTCTTTCTCCTCTTTTCTTTTACTTGTACTTAAAAATAACAAAATTGCGCGTTGACTATATTTTTACCTGTATAAACAACAACAACAGCAACCATTTTTTGTTTGATGGCATTATCGTTTACCATCTGTTTGACAAAAGTGTCTACGATTGCGATTTTTTCTCTGACATCGATTATTAAACTTGAAAATAAAAACGGCGTATCAGACACATTTTTTAGCAAGTAGAGCGTTACATCAACAGCAAAGTGCTGCTGTTGTTTCGCCATCAAGAGGATCGACACTCTCAAGACAACATACACGTCGTGTGCCAGCAACACCATCCGACAATTCATTTAATACAATAGAAAGTGAGCATCTACCTCCTATAGTGCCCCCTCCAACTACTACATTTCGGCATTATCGAATCAACGGCTTAACTTCTACACATAGTTCTTTGGTAAATAATAAATCTCCTCCACCATCTCCTAAAAAATATATTACAAAAACTATGAATACTACAACAACCAGAATAAAAAAAACAGTCAATAGTGGTCCTATTATGGCTAATGGAACACCAGCTCAATCATCAAGAACAATCTCAAGAGAAAGTACTAATAAGGTAAAACTTTCAATTTTTTTATTTCTACAAAATCAAGAAGAAAATTTCACTGTCTTTTTTTATTTTTTAGGTTCGTAAATTGTGGTGGTCACCTAAACGAAATGAACTTGAAATACGTTCTAATGATAATAAATATAAACATGTACCATCTAAAATTGATTCATTAGCTAATATTCAACATCGACCTGGTGGTGGTCAAGTATCTATAAGGGATGAAGTTGTACAATGGCAAACATCATCGAAAATCAATTCACTTGCTAATGCTAATTGGTCTCCACCACCACCACGTGTTACTGTTCGAACAGAAAAACTCAAATGGGATGTTCAACCTAAAATTGGTTCAATGAATAATATTGAGCATAGACCTGGTGGTGGTAATGTAGCAATTCGTGATGAAAAAGTTGATTTAAGTTATGTAACACCGCGTGTTGATTGTGGCTTTGTTGATTAAATATATGCTTTTTTCTGTATTTTTTTTTTTATTGATTCAGAAGAACATTACGGTTTCGTGCTACTTTCTTTTTGTTTATATTTATAATATATACATACATATATATATATACGATGAGATACAATACTGGAATATTCAATAAATACATTTTTTTTTGTTTTTAACAAATGAACAAAGACGAAGAATTTTTTTTTGAATATAAAGAATAAAATTACATAATAGTAAAAAAAAAAGAAAATTTTTAGGCATAATATGCAATGTTTTAGAGAAAAAATGAATAGATATATAAATGCAGAAAACCAAGTCGCTCTTTTTTTTCATTTTAAATTAACTTTAATCTTAGTGACTCTCTACAAAAGTGCAATGTTTCTCTTCATTAAAATCAACGAACGGAATAATTGGTAACTGCATATGCTTATTCATACGTCATCTTTAGCAATTAAATACTTAGTTACGAAAACAAACAACGTTAATAAACACAACAGAAAGAGAATACTCGCGAAACTTCAATTTTCTTTTTAAAGTGAATCAGTACACATAAGATTGTTATTATTGCATTGACAAAAATCAAATGTAAATAAATCCGATTTAAAATTTAAACATCGCCATTGACTTCTATTAATACTTAATCAGATTATGACTAGTTCGAACTTTTTTAGCCCATCGAGATACTGGTTGGTTGGTTATGGTTGTTTGATTTTGTTGAGGTGTTATAAAGCATCTTGCTAAGCCAGATTTTATATATATATATTTAAATGTATGTTTAAGTATATGTTTTATTTCAATACGAAATGTTTGACTTGATAATGTATATATATAAAATCCAGTCATTGGATTAAAATATAATATTAATCGACATATATTGTCAAAAAATTGTTTAATTTTTGCATTATATGTTATTTTTTCCATATATTTTATCATCAAATCAAATATATTAACAGTTGCAAATGGAGCTGTACAACAAATCATAACAATAACTTGTACTAATAGCATTGTAACCAATTGACGATCTTTTGAACGTGAACGATCAGTTCTTACACCATTATTTTGTGCTGCTATTTGAATATGAAGTTTTCGAACATTTGAAATCATTAATATACCAAAAATAAGCATAAGAAGAAGTGGTAACATACAAGAAAAAATTAGAAAAAATATTTGAAAAGCTAATTCATAGTCATTTATAAAGATATTACAATATTGATCAGTACCAATATAATCAACTGTCCACCAAATTAATGTATGAAAATGTGCTAAAGTTATAATCAAAATAATGAATCCAGCTGTTCTTTTAACTATTTTTAAACTACTGAATTGTCGATATTGATTTGTATGACAAGTTGAAAAATATCGATCAATACTTGCAAGTACAACAAACCATTGTATAAGACATAGAGATGAATAAATAAAAAAAATTCTTAATTTACAAAGAACAATATTAGAATTTGATGGATCAATTTTCCAACCACTTGAAAGAAGACGTGTAAGTAAAGCAACATAAAGAAGAAACAAATTATTAATTGATGAAGCCAAAAAGTAAAATGAACATGGATTAGTACGAAGCGAACGACGAGTAAATATGACAATATTCATAATATTACCAAATGTGCCAAGTACAAGTTGAAATATAGGAACAATACGATTAAGTTGAGATGAAATATTAACTAAACGTTGAGGAAGATCATCAGTTGACGTTGACATTGTTTTAAGTAGAGAAAGGAAATTGTTTTTCTATGATCGAATTAATCTTATTGTTAACACTTGGTTGAATATCAGATAATATTTCTAGAGAAACTAAAAAAAAAAAAGATTATACTTTATAGAAAAGCTGACAAGCAAAGAATATCTATATAAAAAAAAAATTGAATAACATCTGGTTATATTGAATGATGTTTCTTTTATACATCATGATAATCTTTTTGATAATGATAATAAGAAACCTTAGAAAAGGCCTATAGATATACGTTACCGACAAAATTCTTTCTTTGCTTTAATTAAAAAGAAGTTCTTCTACAAGGCATGTTAGATAAAGATGTTTCCATTAGTAAATGAATGATAATGATTGATGTATAGAATTCTATTTTTTTGTTTTGATAATATGTAGAAAATTCAAAAACATAATATTAGACATATTTCGATATGCAGCATATATCGATGGATCGTATTCCAATTGTACAATTGATAAGAAAAAAAATCGAAAAAAAAAAAAAGAAAGAGTTCGGATAAAAAAGCTAGCTGAATATTTCGATAGAGCATCCTTGAAAACCTAGAAAAAACTTTTTCTCCCTACACTTAACTCAAAAATAAGACCATTCTTGCAATATAAAAAATACATATATGCATTTTCAAGGATATTCGGTAAAAATATTTTATAATTCTTAATAGAATAGAATAAATTATACATGAACCAATGCAATTTTGATTAGATCTATCGAACGATTTGTTTCAATGTCGAAAAAAACATAATCGATGAAAAATATTATGCCTAAAATATACGTGAAAAATTAATTATTTAGGAAGTACAGTGCATCTTCTATAATTTTTTTTTCTCTACTCACCAATACTTCATTTCGAAAGGTATGTCATGAGATCGGCCTATCAAAGGTGAATCAAATGGTGTATAATAAGTTTATAATTAGCTTTTATTTGATTGAGATACTCAATTTTTTACATGACGGAATATTTTTGAACAAAAACTTATGACAGGCCGTTTCATATATGATATGCTATTATTTCAGCTCTAGGACTTGACAATGCACTGATTTTTTTACTATAAGTAGGAAACATAAAGAGAAAAAGAAGGCGTAAATTTTACGAAAAACAGTCAACTCGATTAAGAAATATTCAAGTCACAAAGTTCAAAATATGACGGGACAAAGTGAATAAATATGTGACTTTTTCAAAAGTTTTCCGCCTGTACCAATTCAAAGTTTTGATGCAGCCGGAAATTTATTTTCAGAAAAGTTGATCCTAACAGTCATCTTCATTTTAAATGCGCTTCAAGTTGGCCATCATATTCCTGCCAAAAGAAAATCAAATTTTTAGATGATGTGACAAAAAACGACAGGGTATCTGTCAAGTCACTATTGTGCGTATATTTATTAAAGACAGTTTTTTTTTAAGGAGATTAAAGTCAGATTCTGATTGTGCGCACTTTTTTCTATCTAACTGCAATAAAGAAAATGTGAACATAAACTTTTCTTAATCGAAAAAATTTTTGTATTCGTCGCGAGATGGCGCCAATTTTTGCTTCTTTTCACTTTCAACAAGCATAACACTCGAAATGGGAGTGATGTAGACTACTGAAATTTTGAGAAGTATAGCAAGTCAATGAGAGGAGTATTCTGTGAAGTTGTCAAGTCACTCGAAGCTTTCGAACAAGAGGTATTCATGATTTAATACTGACCATGCATTGTATAAATGAAACACGATTCACCCATATATAATTTCAAAGTATAAATAAAGTTTTATCTAATTTCACTAATTAATATATAACATGTGCAGTGTATTATCAAGCTCGAAGCTGAAATTTGCCCTGCTCACTACTATAAAAGAAAGTTGTGCGAAATAAATCTACCTATATGATTATAGATATTCTTTTGTAGGATTATTATAGAGTCAGGTAGTACTGTTGATAAAGATGAACTTGTTAGTATTTTATTCATAATTAAAGATGCATATATCGTAGGAAAATGCGTTTTTACTTTTCGAAAAAGAGCAAATATTTCTAAGTATATTGATATCAAAAATTCATTATAGGAAAAAAATTATTAATCACTTAGAAGATTTATAAAGACAGAAAGAGACAACAAATTTGATTGAATTTTACTGTGTTTTAAATTCTATCGTTTACATATAAAATTGTTTTTTTTCTTCAGGAATATCCTAGTCTTATGATAAAAATCGAGCGAATTTCAAAATGGAAAAACTATCATTTAATTCATCTTAACAAAGTAAATTTATTTATATATTTGTCAAATAAATTCAAGATGTCACATCTTAATTTTATTTTTTGTCAAAAACAAAAGTTACCGTTGACAGAATTGTTTCATCATTCTAATTGTACTGAAACCAAATAAAATACATAGAGTTATCAAAAATAAACTTGTCAGTGATATTTAGACGAAAACAGATAACTACTATTCTTATAACATCGAAAACCTCTACTAGGAAGCTTCATGTTAGTTGAAAATGAACACAAATGAAGCTTATCGAAACCTTAATTTAACTATGTTAATTATTTTAGTCTTATATCTAAGAAAGTAGCATACCTAAACATAATTATATCTCAATGCTTAACAAATTTCATACTGCAGTGCTAAAGTTAGTTCAGAGATGATCGTTAAAAGATTTTCGGCAATCAATCTTTTGTTTTCCTAATCAATCTTTTAGATACTAATACGTTTTGAACATTCGCAGCAGAATTTTACTCAGAGAAAACTACACCACCTATCATACAACTTCTTGACACTATAAAACTTCGTACTTTCTACTCTATCAACCTCAGTAAAAGCAGAACTATCATTATATGGCAAAGTTTATTTCTCTTACATGTGACCCACAACATTATATTAGGTATGAGGAATACAAAAGAATCATTCAACGGTGCTTATCTAATGCTAAAAAAGATATTCGAGATTAGTTGAAATCTTGTCAATAGCTATATTAATAAAAAATATATTGAATATTTTCATACGTATTTTTCTAATTGAAGTTAAAGCTAAAAAGATTTTGTTTTAATTACTTTTAGATAAACATAGTCAGTGCTACACATGATGTACAGGTAGTAAAAAATTAATTACCGAAAAATTTTAATGCATAGTCTCTACACTGAGTTTAGCACTACAATATAAAATTTGCACAGCACTGAGATATAATTACGTTTAAATATGCTGTTTCTTTTGATATAAAATTACAATAATGAACATAGTTAAATTAAGGGCTACACAAACTTCATAAGTGCTCAATACATATGAGCATGTAACTTTTTAATAAAAGCATTGACATATTGTAACACTAATGTTAAGCTCGTTCTTGTTTGAGTTAGTAACAATAAGCAGATCTTTGATAACTCTATGTATTCTGTAGGGTTTCGGTGAAATTGTGAACATTCTAAAGTTTTATCAAATTTGATTCTCTTCGTGTATTGTCACGATTGTACTAAGAGATTAGATAATTATTTTTTCTAAAATTTTTTCTATCACAATTGACATGGACATATTTTCTCTTTCCCGAAAAGAGAAACATTTCTCTACAATGTATACAACTCAATTTATGGACGAAATATGATAGTGATTATTTTTGGCTATGATGCAGCATTATATTTAAGTATATAGATAATACAGATATAAAAAATCTTTTGTTCAATGCAAAATCTTATTTAATACAATCTAAAATAATTAATCAGGAGAAATAATTATCTGCTCCAGTGACTTAAATAAAACGAAATTGTAGAATTATAATGTTCGAAGAGTTTTTTCATGTATTTAATAATATAATAGAAATAATATATTATTTACAAAGAAATATTGATAAGCAGATTTTATAATAGTATACAAGGATTAAATCAACATACAATTTTGAATTCAAACATTCAACATTATCATCATAATGCTTGTTTCTTCTAGAAATCAATATAAACAATTTTCAAATTCTTAGACCATTCTGACATATGTAATTATACACTCGATAAATGACATGCATAAAATTAAAATCTATAAAACAACATTTATTAAATAATTCTTTCAATCCGAACATTTAAGTATTATACGATATATTACAACGAATTTACAAAACTCGACACATACAATTCTTTTCTGATTGACAGAGAAGAAAAAAAGGATACAAATACAGAACAATAATGAAACATATAATCAAGAAAACAAAACGAGAACAAATAAAGTAATCACAACTAACAAAACAACATTGAAAACTAAGAATGACTAAAAACTTTTCTTTTTACATATACAATATTTTCAAAGAAGGCTTTTCGATTAACATCATAGTTTCTTGTCCGTTTTTTTCTCACTCAGACAACTGTTCATGCTTTAGTTACCATGGTTCCACCCGTCTGTTCTCTTTGTGATGGTATAAATTTTTCCAAACC